TTGAAATATGTTCATTTCGTTATCAAGGAAGTGAGGTATAATGTTATGCAAGATCATAAACTTTTCCGAACGAGATATCGGTGCGGAAGTGGTTCGGTTGGGAATTGCCGCGCATTAGCCAGGAGCTGCGGTCCGGGGATCAAATCCTGGGTCCATGAGTCGCCCGGGCCAACCAAGCCTTCCATCCCTCCGGGGTCGGTTAATTGGTACCAGACTTGTCTGGGAGGATAAAAACACTGACTTGTACATCGGCTGGCCCCCGCAAGTCATTGTATAGGCCACATCGCATTCAAATGCCACTACGAATGTACAAATGGAAGTAGAATGCGTGCCGCATCCCCAAAAGGGATTGATCAACGGCAAATGCTTTATCCTTTATCCTTTAACCGAAAAACTCGGCAATTTCTGTTATAAGCTAGAAAACTAAGAAGCTGTGTCAATTTTCACAGCTTCCTGGTTTTCCCACGGAAAAGACGAGTTTTGGAATGCGACCTCATCAGTGCGAGAGGCTACCATACCTATAGGTATGATAGATAGATAGATAGATAGATAGATAGATAGATATAGATAGATGGTAGATATATCTGCAGTCCACATATGAGAGTTGGGATAGGCTTGTCACCGGAAGTGTCGTGGCAGCAACCGCACTTGATAGATTTCGCGCGGATAAGCTGCTTCCAACATACATAGCTGGATATCAGCAAAGTTTGCTGGCAACAGCTTAGCCACGAAACTTTTTGGAGTGTGGCGGCAGTCACTCACTTCCGTCACACGCCTACCCACTCTCGAACATTGACTATACCTAACGGTATTTTATGCGTTATGTCATCATCTACTTTGGGTGAGGGCGAACTCGAGGTATCTCGTCCGTAAGTTCACATTAGTGACATCAAATCACTTTGTAAGGCTCTGCGCCATTGTTGCGCACTTTCGAGCCGCACAACAGCACATCTGTGACACTAGTGGGCTACTCTTCCTCACCTACAGAATAGATTCTTCGACAGGGATTGTTTCTAAAGGGTAACTGTAACGGAACAAAAAATATTACAGTTTTATTGACATAGTGGGCTGAAATCACAACTACAAACTACTCTTTGAGTCAAGAGACTCACGTTAGAGAGCTTTCATACAGAAAACCATATGACTACTTCAAATGCACATTATCTGTGTGAGCCACTTAAAGCTTATCAATTGAACATGCAAGTAAACGCAATAACGATGAGGTTAGTAGATGAACCTGGCCGCAGGTATTGAAAGTATGTACAAATTTGAGAGAAAAAAAAACACGTGTGAGGAATAATGAAAGGGTTAAAAACCGTAGAAATAGAACCTACTTAACGTATCAGAGACAAGAAAAGCAATATTTAAAACGCATCAACGATCAGATCACAATACTTCAAAACATCACGTTCGATGTCCGCGATTCTCTGGCTGAAAAATGATCTGAGTAATAATAGACTGGAAAACACTATCGCTAGGTCACAGAGCGCTGACGCACACACTTGTCGCTCGCCGTGAAAAAAAAGCCTCTGCTTTGAGGCGTTTGCTCAGCACAGGTTGTAGAGACTAGCAGTGAGATAGCATAGCCTGGATGGGTGCGGAAAAGATCAAAAAGCACAATGCTCAAAGCAGTTGCCGCGAAATGGTATTGCGCGCTCAGAGCCCCAGCGAAGGGCGTCGCCGCACAGTGACCTAACGACACATCTGACTAAAAAAGTTGTAGACATGAAAGGCGATATATAGGAAAGCAAAGCACCATAGGTTCACAGGAAAGCGTTTTCAGCGACCAAATCGTCGGCACTATAGCACAAAATGTGTGAGAAAGGAGATTCCATCGGAAATGAAAAAAAAACGCTGAGGAATGTGAGGCAATTCAGTACTGAATTCGGTTACGACAACGAAGGCGATTAGTACCTGACTGGAGCGTGGAAAAATTACACAGGATCATTTAACGTGGCAGATGGTCACACGTACACGTAGGTACAGAAGCTCGGCGGCACAACGAAATCAGACGTTGCAGAATGACAACATTGGAGCCTACTCATTACGTTTCCTACATTGAGATCACACCATCATTACCCATCATGCTGGCTGCTCGACTGGCGATCGACGCCGTATCAATGTCGAACATCGACCATTCGCCTCTTCCAAGAAGTCTCAACTCCATATCATGGAACTGCTTCAGCGAAAATCGATGGCCAACCGAAACGTATGTTATGTTCTCCTGCAATTCCAAACTTCGTTTTTTGCCAAAAAAAATTGTGCCCTCAAAACATCGGCAGTAAGTCCTTCCCCGGAATTCGCCAAATACGCTTAAAATGAGCATCTGAAATAATCTTAAATGACACCAATCACAACAAAGATTACCCGATCTCCGCGCTGTGAAATGAAAGAGGTGGTGAAAGAAGAAAAGCCTTCTAAAATGGAGGAGCACTCCAAGAACCGAGGAAAATGAAGAAATTCCCCAACGTAATTAAGGAAACTGATAAAAATATGCCGAAACAGATGTGCTTTACGGGCTTCCTCAAAAACTAACTTTTTGAGTCATTCAGTCACTTGCGAAATTCCGCCTCCATTAAACAAGAGGGAGTACTCACCCTATCTGCATGCACAACTCAAGGAGCGCAAGCCATGAGTAGGAATCTATGGAGTATAAGCTCATCTATGTAGGGTTGATTTTTCCTAGTTCGACTTTTTTGAGATAGAAACTTCTTTCGGCTGGCATGGAGGAAGTGACCAACTCATATTAATCACCTTCAAGTGACAAAACCTTACTCATTCGTTACTCCAGCTGAAGCATGAGGCGAATTTTGAAAATAAAAAGGATAATTCCACAAACATGGGATACCAAACTGATGTTTTCTGAGCATTTTTCCTTAACGATGATTTGGTTTGACCAACGCAACGCGCTGTGCCAACGGAGAATAAGTAGACCAAAAAATAGTTATGAACAACTTCGAAGAAAATTTTGAAAGTCCTCTCAGGAAACGATACTTCCTCAATCTCACGATGTGGACCAAAGTTCTTTCAGAACAGTACTTTAAACTCCTCTACCTCCTGTAGTTTTCTATACAGCTGCATTTCTAGCTCGAATCCAATCGCACTCGTTGCCTCATCAAGAAAAGCGATCCGTGGCTTTGTGTAGAAAACTCGAGCCAATGATAACCGCTGTAATTCGCCAGGTGATAAAGCTTCATTCCTGAAAATTACACTTTTCCTAACAAAACATTTTACATCATAGAACAGTGAATTGTTGAACACCGATTACTACTCTTACCAGTCCCAGTCGACAGGTGCGTCAAAACCTTGACATCTCTCCATCAAATGCTCCATTTTCACCCACTCCAAGATTTGTGTGTTAATCTTGTCAAATCTAAAAAAAAAAATCAATAGAATAATAGCATGAACCCACAATTTGCAAAATATATTATACAAAAAAATTGAACATGGCAATGCCTAACACTTTCACAGACACCAATGATTTCATTAAACTTGCCCTTTTCTACTGGAAGAGCTTTGAGACACAGGATATACAATTGGCTGTCGCCAGGATCCCGATGGAAATAAATGCTTCTGAGCGCACGAAGAAAGCAGTTTGTGCGTACCCACCGCCAATGCGACTCACACTTTACGCAACAGCAACACTTCACCAAGGACTGCCTTTGCTCTAAACCTATATGACTGCAATGGAGAAATATAGGAAAAAGTTACATAACGATAACTTACTAATGAAAGAAATGTTGAACACCCACCTGACACATTATTCCATAATCCAGCAAACATTCGCAGCAGAGAGGTCTTTCCACAACCACTATCACCCGTGATTAGAACATTCTGACCTTGGATTAGCTGCACCCGACAAATCTGCAACCATGGAATTTTGATCAGAATTAACTGACCCGTGACCTTCCACAGAAAAACAAAAATTACTATGAATTTGTTGAAAAGAAAAACAACTAGCAAATGCTAAAAATGTTTGTTCAAGTCCCAAGAAAAGAGCGAAAGTTATCGACTATTCTTTCGTACTAAATCTTGAAGTTTGCAATAACATTACAGCATACAATAACATACTTGCCAATAAATGGTATTCTGAGCATCAGTAGGAGGAGCTAGTGTAGCTGAATCAATCGTCATCGCAACACCATCATCTGGCCATTCCTCATCACGATCGGACTTGTTCCCTTAAGAATCATCATTAATTGCAGTAAAATAGATTACAGCACTACTCAAGAAAACAGATTACCCAGAAGGAATTGGGCTTCTTCCTCATCATCGCAATCGCGCTCCAGCGAGAGTTGCTTTCCATGAAGTTCCTCAATCTGAACCAACTCCAGGTAAACCAATTGCAGGGAAATCAACTCGATAGGAGAAATAAAGGAAAGGCATTGATGAGAAAATGTTAAGCATTAGGGTCCACGATCTCTTCGGTGCGGGTTGCACAATGAGGGTTCTTTTTGAAGGTTGTCACACTTGACGAAAAAAAAAGGT